GTGTTCTAGGAAGGAAGCCCAGGGGTGTTGGCAGATAGCAGCTGCCACACCTTCTACCTGTTCTCCGGGTCCCTGAGTACAGGCTGACTCAGCCCAGGGAGGCTTTGTGCTCCTGGTAGCGTGGAGGGTGGGGCCGAGGGTGCCAGCCGAGGTTTTCTAGGGCTTGGTGCTCAGTCCTGTTTGGGAGGGTAGAGGACTCAGAGTTCCTGGTTACACATAACAGAAAACAACTCTGGTTGACTACGGCCCAGAAGGAATTTTCTGGAAGGGTAATGGGTGGCCCACAGAATCACGGGGTAGGCTAGAGAACCAGGCTCATCAATGGGGCAAGGACCCTGAAAGCTGGGAGGCGGGACCACAGGCAGGGACTAGCGGGGATGGGCCTGCTGACATCACGGCCCCAGCTGCCCCAAGCTGCCCCTGCAGACCGCCCCCCCACACACACACACACCAGAGGAGCCGTCCCAATGGTCCCAGCTGCTCTGGGGCCTTCGTCAGGGTTAGAGTCCTGGGAGGCATGGGCCCAGGCTGAGTGCCCGCTGAGCCCTCCGAGGGCTCTGGGAGAGGGAGACTGGCCCCTTCCACTTCCGTAGGGGAAGCCGCCTCCCGCCGTCTAGGGATTCGGCCCCTCCCATGGGTGTTTGGATGGTAAGCAACCAACAACAACAAATGCCATACACGCTCTCATGTTCCTGAGCGCAAGAGGCAGTTTCAAACCTGCCTCACCGGAGGCCTCGTACCTGGAGTGCTGCTGGCACAGCCCGCCAAGTGTGAAGTCACGGAGACCAAGTGCTTCTCGCTACTTCTGACACCACCTTCTCTCCGTGGCTGGCGTGGCCGCTAACTCACTGCACGGCGTGCCGGGCCCTGAGCTCCGTGCTGGACGTTGGCCATCTCGTTGGGTCTTGCCTTTGAAGTGACCACCACTTTTGCGAGGAGGAAACTGAGGTCGAGTGGCTCACTCGCTTTCCAAGTTCACTCGGGTCTAAACGCACGGGGACTGGAGTCCAGGCAGCCTGTCCCGGAGCCTGGCTGGAGAGGGGCCCTGCAACCCAGTGGAGACAGACGTTAAACATCAGACAGTAAACGCAGGGCTGGTCCATGGTTACGGGGAGCCCTGCTGCTGGGAGGGGAAAGGACGGGCAGGAAGAGGAAGAGAGGAGACCTTCCATAGGGTGAAGGGGGGAGACGCTCCCAGGAAGGTCTCTGTGAAGAAGGAGTTCGCCAGGCAAGGAGCGAGGGGGACGGGAACAGCGGGTGCCCGGGCCGGAGGCGGGAGAGGCTGGGGGGGGCACCCTGTCTCATTATTGCGACATCCCGCGGCCGGGCTCCCTGCTTCTGCCCAGCCTGGGTGCTTATCCTCCACCAGCCACAGTGACCCTTTCACTACCCGAGTCAGGTCATGCCCGGCTCGGCTGCTCACTCGCCCAGGGGAAGAGCCCAGGCCTCCATAACCCGCCCCTGCGGCCCCTGCGACCACCCCCTCCCTCCCTGGACTGCAGTCACGGGCCCTTTACTCCCTCCAAAGCACACCAGGTGCGTCCTGCCTTTGGCCTCGGCCCCGGCTGCTCCCTCAGCCCAAAACGTTCTCCCCACCTGCCCACGGTCTCCCCTCACCCACAGGCGGCCGGGGCACGTCCTCGTCCCGAAGCAGAGGCAGGAGCCGCGGAAGGCACAGCCCTCTGCTCACATCCTCCGGGCCCACGTGAGTCACACGGCCCAGCCCAGGGTCCGAGGCCGAGGGCACTAGGACCGTGGGGGCCGCATGCAGAGGAGGCAGGGAGGGCCCCGGTGCACTTGACCAAGACCCTTTGACCGAGCTCAGAACCCCACCCCTCCCCCTGGCGAGGGACCTCCCCGCTCCGGGATCGCTCCTCCAGTCCCATCCTGTTCCAGCCAACAAACACCTATTACCACCTGCCCTGCACAGGCCCTGCCCCAGGCCCTGCAGCCCTTAAAGCGACAGAGCCCTTGCCCTTTCGGAGCTCACATTTTAGAGGCGATAACACAATAAGCAAAGGCTGTGAAGGGCTCTCGGAAGCCTGGAAAGTGCTAGAAAGAAACAGGAATCGAGGAAGGCCCTGTCTCGATGGGGCGGTCAGGGAAGGCCTTGCTGATGAACTGTGTGAGCAGGTGAAGCTGGAGGGCGGGCCCTGTGGGAGGTGGGCACCTGGAACAGAGTGAGCAAAGCAGAGAGAACAGAAGTGAGATCCTGGTGGGAACCAGGGACAGCGCCGCGGGGCTTGTTGAACTGGCGACACCTTTGGATTCTGCTCCAGGTGTGCAGCGAGGGTGGCAAGCAGAGCGGGGAGGCCATCTAGGCCCTGGGAGGTGGTCAGTCAGGGTGCGCCTTGAAGGGGGACCCAGAGGATTTGCCGATGCCTTGGAGGAAAAGGAGGCAGGAGCCAAGGATGGCTGGCGCTGTGGTCTGAACGAGCAGGCAAACGGAGTTGCTGTTGGCTTAGATAGGAGTGTCTGTCAGGGGCTCAGGGGTAGATGTGAGAAGTCCTCCAGGAGGAGAGGGTCTTTGCAACCTGGGGCGGCTGTGGAGGCTTGAGGCGCCCTACCTTCCACCATGTGGGGGAAGCAAGAGGCCATCAGAGTGTCGCTAGCCACTTCATTCGTTCATTCATTCATTCAGCAAAAGTTTATTGCACGTCAGGGATAAGCCAGACACTTGTGGATGCTGGGGAAGCAGCAGAGAAGAGAGACAATGTCACGCTCGATCTGGTACCTAACTTTCTAGGTGCACGACAGGTGATGGATAAGCAAACAGATGTGAACACCTGCAGAGAAGGAGGAGCCTTACAAGGAAACCCTAGAGCAGCGGTTCTCAACCTGTGGGTCACGACCCCTTTGGGGGTCGAATGACCCTTTCACAGGGGTCGCCTAAATACATCCTGCATATCAGATATTTACATGACGATTCATAACAGTAGCAACATTACAGTTATGAAGTAGCAACGAAAATAATTTTATGGTTGGGGGTCACCACAACATGAGGAACTGTATTAAAGGGTCGCAGCATTAGGAAGGTTGAGAACCACTGCCCTAGAGAGAGGTGGAGAGTGACTGGGGGAGTACCCTCGGGCAGGATGTCACCCAAACTGCCCCAAGGACAAAACCCAGACTCCCGAGGAGGACCCCAGCCCAGTTTGGCTTCTCTTTGTCCCCCAGAGCGGCTGCTGTGTCATTAGGAGAGGGAGGAGGAGGAGTGGGACCGCAATGACCTTCAGGGTCCTGGGAGGGGCTTTGCCGTGTAGGAGGCGTCTCTTGAGCTGGGCTGCCTCTGTGCAGGTGTCCAGGTGAAGGAGTTCTGGGAATTAGGGATCCCGACAGACAGAACA